GCCTTAAACTATGGCAGAAAACTTGGGTGGCGAATAGGCAGAGCAGCCAAGCAGGGAGGCGGGGACATGCAGGAAGTAAAGGATCCCTGCATTGCCTCTTCTTCCGCCTCCTTACAGCTAGCTGGGCAGGCAGAAAAGGGCATGCTCACCTCTTGCTTGTATTGATTCTTTGTGTTCAGTATTTGAGTGGCAAAAGCAGATATTAAGCTCAAATCTCTGCAGCCTGATGTACTGGACTTGGAAAAGTACAAGAGGTGTCAAACAGAAAACGATGCTCCCTTCTAACTTTGATGTCTGCTTTCCTTCCGCTGTGCGTTAAGTCCACAGCCTGGTGGATTCCATCAGAAACTAGCACCTAACTCACTCTTCGGTGTGTGTGTCTCTTTTCCTGATGGATTTTACAAAAAGAGAGATCTGTCCCATATTTGTAATTGTTAATTCCCACTGTTGCTGCTCTCACAAGGATTGCACTAAAGAGGTGAGTAAGAATTTCAGCTCTATAGAATAAGTGTGTGTAGCTGCAGGAAAGGATTTTGGGGGTGAACCAGAATTCTTGACAAATCTGCTGAACTGCTTTACATTTGCATAGCTTGGGTCTTCAGCTTTTAAACTTGACTGTACTTTTCCCCTGCATTTTTTAAAATGTAGATTAAAATCCTGAACAGCGGGGCTTGGAACACTTACTGCTTCTGCTATTTTCCACCTGTGTTGTTTTTCCAAATCTAAATATTTTTTTAAATTTAGAATTGCTGAGGTTATGTAACACTTCCTCTGCCTTCATTTTGGTTTGGTGTAAAAGTTATACAGCACTGATTGTACCTCCTCTTGTGAAGCAAATTATATTTTCAGTATCTCTTGCATTAGAACAAGATACTAAACCACTGATGCAGTAAGCTGGTGGTCTAACTAATGCCAAATACTGCGTGTTTCTAGGCTAAAATTGTGAGGAGGAGTTCTGGGTAGCGTATACCTTGGTGTTTAAAGTATCTTGAAAATCTAGTGTTTTTAAGAGTACCTAACTTGCCTTTAATGGATCAAATAACCATATACACCTGGATGTTGAATTTTGCAACACACTTTTTTCACCTGATCAAAATCTGATAAAATCACAAACTTTACCATCTCTAAGATAAATGGAATATGAAATACCTTCTCATGCTTAATGTGAAGACTGTAAGATAAGTATTGTTTTGCATCAGTCGTGCTTTTTGCTACCTACCTATGCCCATGTTTTAGAGGTGCTCTCAAATTGCAAGTATTCAGTGGGTTTTAAGTTGGCACTTCTTTCAAAAGCTGCAGTTCTGCCCTTGTTAGCTATTGCCCTATGACTTTCCTTCTGTAAGCCTGAGCGCAGCTGCATCTCACTGGAAACTGCTGCAGGCTTTTTTTGGTTTGATTTGTTTCAAGTCTGATAAACACCATGATCTGGTTCATTGATGCAGGTGTATAAATGCGTGTGCCAGCAAAAGGGAGGAAATGACATGGGTGGGGGAATGGGAGATGGTGAACAGGAGACTGCTGCTTTCAGCAGCACTGCCAGTTCATGCTATTTTAGATGGTAGCTTGAGAAAACATTGGCTTTTCTGTCTGCCTGTTATACCTATCTATGTTTCCTTTTTCTCTGCAAGAGCTCTTCCTTCTGTTTCTTTAACAAACTCAGAAAAAATGCTAGTGGGATTCAGGTGTTCAGTTCTTACAAAACTGCCACTGGGGAATAGGACTCATAGATGAAAGGATTTGAATTGTCCTGTGATTCTTCTAAGGAGTTTGGGGACCAGGAGAGGCATATAAGAATGCGACCATCTTGCAGTAAGTGTGGTGAAAACCAGGAAATACTGAATGGCTTAGTATGTACTTGAGTGCCTTTGGGTTCAGAAACTAATGAACGTATGCTTGGCTGCACAGCTCATGTGCTCGTAAGGACACATCAAGGTTACGTGAATTGCAGGGCCTGGCCTCCCTTTGGTTTCTCTGTGATGGCAGATTAAGGTGTATGGGCAGGTCTGGGTAGAAAAGGATTCATTCACTTATTGATTTTGATTATTCATGGTATCCTCTGTCTTGTTATGTACAGTAGTTGGACACTTCCACTAGTGCTTGGAGGAGTTAAAAAAAAAAAAAAGTTTTTAAAAGCTGATGGTTAAGTGGCCTGAACTTCAGCATAAGGGGTGCTTGGCCAGCACTGTGGACTAGGCTTAGGCAACCCTTCTCATGGACTCGGAACAAACTGAGAAGTAGGTAGCTGCTTGAACACAGAATTCTCCGTTGGTTTTTAGGCCCTAGTGTGAGGTTCTCCCAGGTTTTCTGAGAAGCAGTTAGGAAGATAGAAGCTGTGCTGGAGGAGGCTGGCAGGAGCTTCTCTTTTTAACTGAACTCTTGGTTTGGAATTCACAAAATGAGATATTGTAAAATGGCCCTCATGGAAGGGCCTGAAGACTTTGGACAGGTATTTAATTTCTTTCAGGGTAGAGAAACACAGGGTAGCAGACTGAATCACTGATTTTTAAAATCTGTTCTTAGCTTTACCTTTTCAGGCTTCAAGCAAGAATAGAGCATGTGGTATAATAGTTAACAAAGCTCATGTTCGATCTTCATGATATTAATATTTTGCTGTGCCAGTTGCTTACTCATCTTAGCTTTTAGTTTTTCTGAAATGAGATTGTCACAGGTTTGACATCTTCCTTCTGCTGCCACAGTGTAAATGAACATACATGCTGGCTGCTGCTATCTGGCGCTTGAGCTGTTTAAGAGACTGTGTTAAACCTCAGCAAATTTAGATGCAAATATATACAATAAGGAGTTGAATAATTATTGCATGGGTTATATATGTATGTATGTGCATATATAGGAGAGCATTTAATTATGTATAGAAACATCTATCTCTGTGTGTATGAACCTGAAGTCCTGGGGCCATTTTAAGCTTGGACATAATTGAAGGTGGATGTCTCTAACTAGTCTACTATATGAGCAGAGACACATGCAAACGGGTACTTGATGCCAGTAGTAAACACTAAAACTAGTTTTATAAATCCCTATAGAGTGTAGGGCTCTGTGATGTCCTGCTAGGAAGCTGGAGATTTATGACATGACCTGGTTACAGCATTAAACTTACCTGTCCAAACTTCGGTCTGGTGTCTTATCAGCTGAGGCATTGATCTCCAAAAGTCTTAACGTTCAGTGAAGCCTTTAAAAGCACTAAGCTGATGTTCACTGACTGACTGTGTTTTTGGGCTTATTCTAGTCACAACACTCTTCAGTTCTGCAAATTTCAATTGCTAGAATTTTGTAAGAGCAAATTCTAGAGCAAAGAATAAATAACCAGAATGCTGTTGTAACAGGAAGTTTTTATCAAGAGAAAAACTAGTCTTTCTATAGGTGTTTTTTTTTTTTTTTTTGTCCTTTTGAAAATTCCAGATACAACACCTTTGTAAAACATAGTGGCAAATAGCACTGTTGTCCACTGAAAGACCACTCTTGTGTTTCTCCTACTCTTGTGTTAGCATCTGCTAAGTTGATGTTGACTGTGCCCTCTCCTGGAAGAGTGTGGTGGAGAATATTTTAGGTAGTGAACAAATGAAGTCAATATACTGCCACGTCTGCCCAAGGGGAAAAAAGTATCTAAATGTAGATGGAAATTATTATCATATTGAGGCTCCATGTTCAGTTAAATGAAGGTCTGCAGTTGCAAAGGCTCTAGTTCAGAGACTCGGGCCTTTCCGTTTCAAGACTTGTTTCCCACTGACAGTAGAGGAAGGGGGAAGGGTCGTGCCTTGATGTCCCCGTTTGCTGGGAAGCAGTGTCGTATACATATTGGGAGAAGTACTTTCTGGTTAGGACACGAATCATGATGTTTGTATACTACTCTTGTTTATTTCTGTACTTCAGACTCTATGGTTTTCACTTTTGATCACTTGTGATTTACCAGTGATGCAGGGTCAGATGTGTCAAGTGTATGACTTCAGGATTGTTTGGTTTGAAAAAGTGGGCTCTTTGTATAACAGAATTTGAACAGGATTTCTTCGTGCGTTCTCATTCTGCTATCTTAGATACAGCAGAATACTGTACTTAAATACTGCTTTTACTGCAGTACTTTTACTACTTGAATACTTGAAGCTAAAGGCTGAATCGAGTAAAATTGAGTGCTAAATTTTGCTGTTGTGGAAAATTGCCCCTGAAATTCTGGCCATAACTAAGTGATGAAGCTTGGCTCTCTGCTTGCAATGTTTTGTAGAATTCCCAGATGGTCATATCTCATGGCCTATTTGCTATAGTGATTTTGTTTTGCTTCCCCCCCCCCCCCCCCCAAATGGCTTTAGCATGTATTGGAGAAAGGATTGCCATGTGTTGTTGAAGGGCTTTTGTAAAGGTCTGTATGGCTAAGCTCATTTTCCTGAACTCACAACAGCATTGATGCAGGAGTGTGGTTTGACTATAGTAGGTCTTCTGGGGAGAACTAGAATACAGGAAAGTCTTTTTTTTTTTTTTTTTTTTTTTTTAAATGTTGGACAAGTTATTTAGTGATCCAGTCAGATCATTCTGGGCTAAGGTTTTTCCTGTAGAAGCCAATCTATGCCAAAATCACCTGCTATAATGGCATCTTGGAAACATTCTGGGAAGCAGCAGAATCCTTTGAAGACTGTTAAATTAATCACGTGGGTTCATGCATTAGTGTGGCACAGGAAACATTTCCTTCCATTCTCAGTCCAGGCTGCGTATTCACCTCTAACCAGCATAACTACCATGGAAACTAAATGGTTCTCCTATCTAAACTGCCAAAGCCCTCTGTTATGGAAGTGTAGCTGAGAAATAGGGGGAAAAAATGTTTGCAAAAGTCGCTAACAGACAGATAAGCAGTAAGGTTGGGGTCAGACTTCTATATCATTTGCACTAGTGGGGAATTCAGGCCAGTTATCTATTGAGTAAAAATAGTTGGTGTGTGAACACAATCAAAACTGCAATCGAACAGGCCTTCCAGTTTCTCTGTTACTTGTATGTTCCAGGGTGTCAAGCCAGCCAGCTTTGATAAAGTAGCAATCCCTGAAGTGAAGGAGATTATTGAGGGATGCATTCGGCAAAACAAAGGCGAAAGGTAAGTACTTTCTTTTCAGACAGAGGTATTACTTGCTATCTGAGTCTTTTATCTGTGATGATACCAGATCCAGTTAGTTTCTGGGGTCTTCTGTGTTCTCATGAAAGTTGGGAAGTCTGTATTTACTTCTGCAGCTTCTATTCTTTGGTATATTCTTATTCGATGATTGTTTTAGAGAATTAATAGTGTCAGGAAAAGTGCAAATGCTATAGTAACCATATGTGTCAATTTATTCAGAAATTCTACTGCTTTTATTAAAACTTTGACCTAGTCAGCAAAATAGTGGAGGACAGTCCTTCTGGGTTCCCAGGTATTTGGATTGGTTGGTTGGTTTGTTATTCTGTAATCCTTTGTTTTTCTTGCCCCTTTGATTTTGTTGTGTTTTATGGTTGATTGAGGGCTCTTCCTATTTTTTTAAATTCTTGCTGCTCATTTTCATCCACGTTTTCTGCAAGATGACTTCTACTTGAGGTGATTAACTTACACCATTGCAGGAAATCTGTAACTGCTCTGATGGCTTATTTGCGGGGTTTGTTTTGTTTTGTGCTTTTACATAGCTGTTGCTTACTAAATGTTGGATTTAAGAATGCTTTAGTCTTTGGCCCTCCTCTAGCCTCCCACTATTCTGTTCAGAGCTAGTTTTGTCAGTTCATGGATGTTTATTCATCCCCTTCTATTAACTCTTGAAGTTTTACATCTGATGGCATTACTGGGTATTTTTAATTTCTATTATTTTTCTTAGTTTTAAACTATTTCATATTTTTTCCCATTTCAAGTGATGTACAGCCACAAAATGAACTTGATTCTTGCCATTTGGTTTAATCTGTTAACTTTTAGACTACTACTGTTAATGCTGTGCATAAATGAACATAGATCTTTTTTGTACCTTCAGGACAAAGCTTCTAATTGTGCCGAACAGAACGCAAGTTGAAGTGGTTCAAAATAGTATAAAATATGAAAGGAGTCATGTGGTGCTTATGTAGTGCTGAATCTACTAGATGAGGCTTTTGATAAGACCTTGAAATAGGCCAAAATACATCCTTGGATTACTGTACTGATTTGGGGACTAAGGGTTGCGTGTTATATATAAATGTTCAGTAAAACCAAACTGTTTCTTCAAAGTTTCTTATTATTTTGGTTAATATATATCCTGTTCAGTTGGCTTAAATCTGTTGGTACTTCTGCTGACCGATGTGTGAGGTTTTTTTGTACACCTGTAGCAGGGTTGCATTTTGTTTCTCCATCACGCTTTTAAAGAGAAATTTGAATGATGGGCTGTCAAATTATTCATGGGAGAGGTATGAAATGTAGAGAATAAATTTGGGGGATCATCAGGTAAGGATATTCCTTAATATTTTATGAAAACCTAATAACTGTGTGTGCTTTCTATGTTCTTTCCCAATATGCTAGATATGCTATTAAGGACCTTTTGAACCATGCTTTCTTCCAAGAAGAGACTGGAGTACGGGTAGAACTAGCAGAGGAAGATGATGGAGAAAAAATTGCCATTAAACTCTGGCTGCGAATTGAAGACATCAAAAAACTCAAGGGCAAATACAAAGATAATGAGGCAATAGAGTTTTCCTTTGACTTGGAGAGAGATGTCCCAGAGGACGTAGCACAGGAAATGGTAAGTGTAGGTGGTCTTACAAAGCATCTGAAGTACTGGTGTTCTCTGACAGTGAGTAGTCTGTCAGCCTCTGTATTTGCTGCTGTTACTGTCTAGAAATAAAACCGCTTCAGAAGTTTTTGAATGAGAAGTTAGTGCCAGAGAGTGGTAGCTTATGTTGTAGCACTTCAATGGTGACTGTCTATGACAGTCTGAATTCTGTGAATATATCCTCCTTCAGGTGGAATCTGGCTATGTCTGTGAAGGGGATCACAAGACAATGGCGAAAGCTATCAAGGACAGGGTATCTTTGATTAAGCGAAAGCGAGAGCAGCGTCAGTTGGTGCGAGAAGAACAGGAGAAGAAGCTTCAGGAAGAAGGTAGTCAGAAGCAGCAGCTGGAGCAACAGCAACCATCAAGTGCTTCCCATGCAGGGTCAAAGCATCCCCTATCTCTCACTGGTACTACTCCTGTCCCCACTACTTCAGCATCGGTTTCTACACAAGTGGAGCCTGAAGAACCAGAAGCTGATCAACACCAACAACTGCAGTTCCAGCAACCCAGTATATCTATTCTTTGTAAGTGTGTCAATTTATTTAGGAACTCTTGCACTTACACAGTTCCCCCCTTAGAGTCTTAAACTTTTGGTGGGTATAGCAGTAAATATCTTAAGATGTTGCTGTCTGCCATTGCTGTCTGCTGGAGACCATTAGCTCACTAGAAAGCACAGCAAAATAAGATGCATTCCTGTGCCTTAGCTAAGTCAAGTCTTGGCACAATTCACAGTCCAGTCTTAGCACAAAATCATTTTCCTTTGTTTCAAGTTAATACACTAAATGAACTGGGCACCTGAAGCATGAGCACATGTCCTAGTTTTTGCTGCCCTCCTACATGGACAGCATTTTCTGGCCCTGACGAGGACTGTATACTCTTGCACCAGAGCTATTAGAAAAACTCACTTGAATCCTTGTTAACTTACATTTAAGGTGGAAATGAGATTAATGTACCAGCAGTTCAGTTTATAATTTGCATTCTGAAAAAAGGGTTCATTTTCTGTTTTACATACTATATGTGAAACATAAATTAAACACTCCCAACTTTTCCTCTTCTGCCATCCCCACATTTGAATCGGTGTTTGAATAATGATGGTAGATGAGAACTTCTGTGTTAGAATGGTGAAGTTAGAAAGGAAATTACCGTCTGCTCTTTAGGTAATAGGGATTTTAAGTCCTCTGCTGTGGGTACATCAGGTGCATCTGCCAGCCAGTACAACAGACCTGTTTTATACGTCTGTGTAAAATTAAATAAGTAAAAGTAATAATTAAAAAAACCCCTGAAAGATCATTCATAACAATGTGGCATTTAAGTTTCTATTTCTAGTCTAGTCTTTTATAGGAAGCATAGTTTACTATTAATTATATTCCCAAAGAACTCCTGAAATTACTGATTTTTTTTTTTTTTCAGAGGTTAGGGGAAGGCATATTGGTAAGGAATTATTGTATTGAGGAAGAAAAAAAATATTTTTTTTTAACCAGCTTAAATATTACAAGAGGTAAAATGCTGATAAGGTCTATGTGACGTGGCACAAACATCAGTCTAAAACTTGATTGATTGTAATATCTTTAAAGTTGTGAATCCAGACTGCAGTTCTTGAAATGCAGATTTTTATCTTTAACTTCCACAGCTGATGGGACAGTTGACAGTGGCCAGGGGTCATCTGTTTATACCGAATCATGTGTGAGCAGTCAACAGACTGTGTCGTATGGTTCCCAACATGACCAGTCAATCTCAACAGCTGCAGTCCAGGGATATGCAGCTTCAGTTGGCCAAGTGCAGTCGCAGCAGCATGGAGGATATCAGCCACCTGCAGCGGTAAGCCACAACTTGCAAGTATTGCAGACGCATGGAATTACTTGATTTTGTATTTCTCTTGAAAGGTGAGAGGAAAGTCTGCCAGGCAATCTTCCATGTATGTTTCGTTTTGCATGCGATGCAAATTCTGTATGGGAGTAGTAAAGGGGCTATTTCTGTGAGGTGATTGAGTCGGGGGGGGGCGGAATTGCAAGGGCATATTTGTCTTTAAAGCTTTTATTTAATCTTGAGTGCAGTTAAGCAGAGTGATGGGTTAGGTCTTTTTGTGGATGGAAGTAATATCCTCAGAACAAGACTATCTTATGAAAGTAAGCATTTAATCTTACTTGAAAAGGTGATGTGTGTATGTGTATATGAAGTTACCAGGGATCAAGCTGTTGGTTTGATTTGAAGAAGGGATTAGAATAATTTGAGTTACTGCATAAGTATGAAATTGCTGTGTGTGTTCTGTGAGGCTTTGATTACAGATTCTGCAGGTAAGATTTTTTTAACTGTTATAGAATGCTGCATGTGAGAACTCCAGACTGAAAAGACCCCTCACCCTTGTTCCCAGTTTTATTTCTAGCTTGTGTTGATTTGCTCATCAGTTGCCATGCATATTCCTTTTCCCTGGAAAGTCTGCACTGGGCACAAATACTTTTCCTACTATGTTCATTTGTGTTGCCCTTTTATTTTGGTATGTTTTCCTTGGTATGTTTTTAGATCAGAGTATGAGAGTATGCAGAAATCTATTCTAAATCAGGAGTAGAACTTCTGCTACTGTTCTATTGTCTTCAATGGTTCCCTTGTCACTTGTTTTTTACACAAATAAAAATAAAAATCTAAGCCTGAGGCAGAGATGTTATGGTATAATGTAGTAATACCATAAGGGAGAAGATGTGACACTTAAGACTGAGGATCCTCACTTTTTTTTGGTACCTGTGGTTGTAGGCTTTATTACAGAATCATTGGTGTTACTAGCTTTTTGGAAAACAGGCTGGTTTCACTCACAAGCAAAGTATCTCCATCTTTTTCAAAGGCACTTAACCTGAAGCTTGTGGTACTGCTAGTCCTTGATCAAACAAGTTTTTAATCCCTCTAAGCTCTTGTTCTGGGTAAGCCATATATTTCTGTGTGGGCATATATTGGGCCAGAAGCCATTTCACTGTCTTGGGATGGCTAGCTTCCAGGTCGAAAGAGAGAGGATGGGAGATCAAGCATATGACAGAGATATAGTCAAACTGCATAGATCACTGCTAAAATGTGCTCATGTTCTATGATGATGATAGTGGTAACAGGAGATTGACAGAATGGAGTAGAACACTACAGGAACTACTAACACTTCTTTGGGAAGACAGAATGACAAGTCAAAATTAAACTGATAACTGGAGAAATGGCCTTAAAACCAAATAGAATGCAGTTCATCAGGACAAGAACAAAGTTCATGTTTAAACAGGAATAATCAGCTACACAAGTACAGGATGAGCAACAACTGACTAGGCAGCAATTCTGCCCCCCCCAAAAAAAGAGGTCAGGGATTACATTGGACCACAAGCTGGACATGGTCAAAAACATCATGCTGTTGTGAAAAAAGCAAACATCATGTAATGTAAAGTAGCTGTTCTGCTCTTGGTAATCTATCCTGGACACCCTGCTTGAGTGAATTTGAGGGTGAATTGGGAGAGAATTCAGAGGAGAGTGACCAAAAAAAACCCCCAAACCACCAGAAATACAGGAAACATTATGTGGGAAGACTGAAAGAGTTAAGCTGAGCCTATGAAAGATGAGCTTGAGGAGAGAGAAAGCTGTAAAGGCTGTTGTAAAATAGGAGGAGGCTAATCAGATCACAACATTGTTGTTAGAATAAGAAATAAGTCATCTAAATTGCAGCATGGAATTCTAGTTTGGAAAGGGTTTTTTCTAACCAACAAGGACAGTTAAGTACTTCAGCCTCCATAACTGGAGATGTTTCTGAACATGTTAGATAAATTAAGAGTCAGGAATGACATATATAACTAGTCCTGCCTTGGAACAGGTGAAGATTATGGGTATTTGTTTAACCCTTTAAGTTCCTTTATGTCTCTTCCAAACGTTTGAGCAGTCTAGCAAAATTTCTCACATCGGAAATATTTAAAATCAGATCTCCGCTGGATATCTTGATTGGTTTTTTTCTTCCTCTGGAGATCTGTATTTAATTTCAGTTACGTTAATAAATTGTGCATTGCATCCATAAGAGGCATATGCCATTAAAGGAGGAAAACTTGCAGCTGAAGACCATCTCTTTATATTCACTTAAAATACAACAAAGCACACCACACCAAAAAAGCAATAAAAAAAAAAAAATCCCCACACCCCTAAAAACCAAACAACCCAAACCCCTTAATTCTGATTCTTCCAATTTGGTTGAATTTTGACCTATGGCCTTCTGGAATGTGGCAAGATTACAAAATCCTGATGCTTTTATTGGCCCAGCATCTGGAAAATGCTTGTATAAGACTAATTTTACTGATTTTTCCACACATTAAACCAACTTTTTTCCACAAGTCATGTTGTAGAATGAGTAATGTTGAAATTTTTGTGGTAATGTTTTAGTTAATAAAGAGCCAGCTGCATACGGTTAGTCCACTTAATTCAGGCAGGGAGTTGCCCAAGCAGAGAGACTGGTGAGGTGATATGTATAAACCCACATCCACTCACTAAACTAAGAATGAACGTTTGAAAGGTCATCAGTATCTGTTCAGGTTTTTCTGTTTGTGGGACTACCAGATGCTGTGAGTACACACGGTGTGGGCTGCATCAGTGGCCCCAGAGAAAATGTTCTCTCCCGTCTGCTCTGCCTTCCACATGCTTCTTGTAAGGGCACTAGGGAACTTTCTGCCCTAATCAGTAACTTAAGGCAAACTTGAGTCCTCAGAGGTGCACACAGCCTGTTCCCAGTGTGTGTTGGCATTCATTCAGCATTTCTCATATCTTCTTGCACACATAGTAGTCAGTATTGGGCCTCTCATTGTGTGTCTGCATTTCTTTTCTACCTCATTGTAGTTTTTGCTGGTTTTGTTTTTCTTTTTTTTTTTTTTTTTTTGAAGTGTTCAATTCCTAATTTTTGTTTTCCTCCTTTAGCCTCAACGTGGTCGTAGCATGTCAGTTTGTGTCCCCCACCTTCCTGCTCTTCCCTCTATGTCCTGCATCCCTCTCAGTGCTCCTTGCACCCCACCACCAGCGCTGTCTGCACCTCTTTCTCCTTTCTACCTTCGGACTGTCCCTGAAGAAACCTTTGCAGAAAAGCTTTCTAAAGCCCTGGAAAGTGTCCTGCCCATGCACTCTGCCTCTCCACGCAAGCATCGACGCTCCAGCCTGCCCTCCCTCTCTGTCAGTCCTGTATGTGTTACCATTTGCCTCCTGGCACAGTAAGATAAGTTATCATTAAATACATCCTGGTCTTCGGGCATTTTTAAAATGAGAAAATGAAGAGCTGATTCCTTATTCCTTATACTGTGCTGCTGGAATGTTGATCTTTTTTTTGCGAAGCAGTACACTTAAACTATCACTATCACTTAAATTATCAAACAGTGGCTGACCATTTGTTTTTTGTATTTTAGCATAGTAAAAATGTGAATTACCTAGTTCTATCACAGAATGTAAAGGGAAAACTAGTTCTAATCCCCTTAAGTCAGAAGACCAGCTTTTTATTTTCCAACTTGTAAGCAAGCATTGAATATTCATTAAGCCCTGCACAAAACAACCAGCTTTTAAAGTTTGGTTGCTGTGGCTGGTTATTTTAAAAAGCTTTAGCTAGCTGTGGTAGTGATACTAGAAATTCAGAGTATGAACACTTTTGAGGATTTTTCTGTACGTCTTAATCAGAAATGCTGCTTCAGCTGCTTCTTGATGGGAAAAAGCCATTGTTTCATGTTTCTCAGAAGGTTTGATGCAAGATAGCTTGCAGGACAGGGGGTAGCCTCTTTTCAGTTTTGGGCTTCAATTTACATGAAAAATTTTGAGAAAAACTTCCCTGTAGCTGAAGTGTGTGGAACTAGTTTTCAGAATGTAGGAATAGTTCTTCATCTTGTAGGACCTTCTTGTTGGTGTTGGTCAATATGGAAATTTGCTGCTGCTTTTCCAGAAAAAAAGGGCTGGGGAGAGAGAACAATGTGGAAACAGAAAGTTGTAAATGGCATCTGTCATAAAGACAGCATATTTGCTACTGGCTCTTGCAATTTTTTTTTTCCCTTTAGAGTTAATAGTACCTTGTCTCTCTGCATACTGTAGGCAGAGATGAAAAAAATATCAAAACAACTTTGTAATTCTGTATTCCCACCTAGAACTTGCTTTAGTGAAAAT